CCCGGTATGGACATGGCCAGTGTCAATCATTCTGGCCAGTATTTAATAAAGCTTGCTTCAAATTTGGCTCAAAAATGTGGTCGTCTTATTCTTGCCCTATGGGTTTAACATTTTCTAGAGGACCCTAGTAAGATCAGACCATCCATTCAAATTCTAAAGCAGGACCTCTTCAAAAACATCTTGAAATGTTCCAAGGTTCCTAGGCATGTCTTTGATTTAACAGACTATCAGAGTGAACTGCCATGCTGAGAAAAGCAACAAGCATCTATAGAGGCCTCCCCTGGTAAGTCAGAGTCTGGCTCTGTTCTGGGATCCCAATCTGGGATGTCGAAAAGTTTGATGGGACCCAAATACTCTCTTGTGCAGGGTAAGAGGAAAGATGTCACTGCCTGCCTGGTTCTGGTTGTTTGGAAAGTTTTGTTGTCTGTTCTATATATGTGGATGGATCTGTTTTCTGTTGTCTGTAAGTTTTGTTGCAAACACAGGAGTCAGGATAGATACACCTGATACATTTGTGTCAAGCTCAGTTGAATGTATGAATGATGGTGGCCACCTCATGTCTTATTTCTGACTAGTCTCCTTTGAGTGTGTGAGCTTTCTGTGTTCTGTGTTTATTGGTTGTGTTTTTGCTATCTCTGCCAGCTGCCAGCCACTACTGCTAAAGCCGCTTGCCATGGCTGTTTTGGTGGCCAGGCTCGGAATTTATCTCTGAGCTTTCTGATCACTAGATTCAGTTTAGTGGGGATTCAAATCACCACAGCAGGATATTGAAATTTAAAAATCTATACATAGTGTGGTAGTTTGAAAGAAAATGTCCCTCACAAGTTCAGAGGGAGTGGCACTATTAGGAGGTGTGGCCTTGTTGGAGTAGGTGTGGAGGAAGTAAGTCACTGGGCTTTGAGGTCTCGGGTGATTGATCAAGCCAGGCGCAGTGTGGCATTCTCTTCCTGCTGCCTGCTGATCCAGATGTAGAACTCTTAGCCACCTCTCTAGCACCACGCTTCCTGCATGACAATAAGGGACTAAATCTCTGAAACTGTAAGATAGCCACAATAAAATGTTTCCTTCGTAAGAGTTGCTGTGATCATAATGTTTCTTCACAGCAACAAAAACACTAAGACACATATGTAATCTTAAAGAACCATGTGACATGATGCCATCTTGGGATATAAGCAACATGTTGCTTGCCACCATCTTAGCTGCTGTCCCCCTTTAGGATGGGAGGAAGCCACATGGCTGGCAGATATCATTGCTAAGATTGGAGATGGTAGATGTCATGTGACTTCAGCGCCATGTTGATTAAAGGTGACAGACATAGTATAAACCAAGGAGGCAACAATAGGTCTCCAAGATATTTTGGATTAGGATGGATGTTTGATTCCTGTCCTGAAAACAAAGTCATAAAAACAGGGTTTATTGAATATAGAATTTTAAAACAATCCTTGTTTAACAGGTATTAAAACTGTACCCCCATGCATTCATATACAAGAATGAACCTCATGCTGGCAGCCAAACTTTGTAATATAATAGACACTCAGGTGGTGTTGGTTTTAAAGGTCATAGGGAGCAGTTGAGACTTGGAACTGCATAGCAGGGCTTAAGTTGCTAAAGAGAGCCTAGGAGAGGGACCCCAGCAGTTTGGGAAATGCTGGTGTCATGCAATGGCCACCAGAAACAACAGCCACAATGAAATGGAGCCAGTTGGGGCCTAGAAAACAGGTTATATGTGCTGCTTAGGGCAGGGCCAGAGAGGTGACCCAAGCTCCTTGGGGAAGCTCAGAGGATTATGAATGAATCCCAGCTACTGAGCAATGAGTTGTTTACACTGTTAGGAGTTTGGTTTTGCCCTTGTTGTGGTTGCACCCTGTTTCTTCCCTCTTGAAATACAAAGGGGTACTTTAAAAGGGTACTTTATTTTTAATTTTGCAGAAGCCCCCAGTTGAGCGATTTTAAACTTCTTTAAGAGGAAAAGAACTGGATTTTTTTTAAGAAGAGCTTTTAAAAAATTAAAATATAAGGCTAATAGACATCTTAAGTTTATAAAATATTTTATATTATGATATCTTTATTAATGTAATCTTGGGCAATAAATAAGTAGTGCACCCTCGCCATGTGATCTGGAGTGCTACCCTGTTGGAAGAAACTCAGAGAGGAGCATCAAAGAAAATGGCTATATCTCCACTAAATGTGCCCAAGCACACATTAAATTTCTGTTATCAGAACCTTTAAAAAATATTTGTAGGCGAATTCAAGATGGTGGTGGCCACCATCTCCAAATGACCATGGAGCACCTTTCAGAGGGGCCACAGGCATGAGATTCCAACCGAATGTGAGGGCTAAAGTTATGTTACAGTTTTAATTGTGCTTAAGAAATCTGTAAAACAAAAACACCTCTAACCTGTAAGCCCCACTTGCCCAAAGACAGATAATATGCCACGTGTTTTCATTTCTGTAAACAAATTTGGTTGTTCCAACTGCACAGGATGTGTATGATCACATGTAGGCAGAAAGTACATCAGAATGTATACTTGCCCCAGAATGTATATTTGACAAAGGCAGGAAGAATGCAGCCTTGTGGGTTTTGCCTTAATAAGCACTAGACTAATATAATTCATAGCCATTCTCTGGGAATCCTGGGTATGGACCTGGCCAGTGTCCATTGTCCTAGACAGTATTTAATAAAACTTGCTGCAAACTTAGCTTAAAAATTGTGATTGTGGTCTTATTCTTGCCCAGTGGGACTAACAACTCCTCTTAGAAAACATTTACAAAACGTTACAATAACAAAGAAAAAACTGAAATCTTCTATTTACTGCCTTGTTCATTTTTACCCCTCTGGTGTATATGTAACATGTATGTGAGGGGAGGGGGAAGATACATGCACACTCGTCTATGTAAGTGTGCTCTTGTATGTGCCACAGCACACATGTGGAAGTTAAAGAACAATCTCAACAGTGGGTTCTCACCTTCCACACAAGGTGTTTTTTGTCATCTGCAGCTGTACACCCTCTGTCTTTCATCTTGCCATAAAAGCACCGGGATTACTAACACAACCTACCAACCCAGCTTTATGTGGGTGCTGGGGATTCAAACTCATTCCCCTCATGCTCAAGTACTTTACCTACTCAGGCATCTCCCATCCCTATTTTTTTTTTCATTCCTTACAACAATTGCAGGTTAGAATTAATTTAAAAACTCCTTAAAAATTATTATTATTTGTGTGTAGGTACCCACAGAAGCCAAAACAGGGGAATGGAGCCCCTTGAGCTGGAGTTATAGGCAGTTACAAGCTATCTGAGTGCAAGGAATCAAATTCCAATCCTCTGCAAAAAAAAAAAATTGGGCATTTTTAATGCTGAGCTATTTCGCAAGCCCCAATTGATCAAGTCTTACCTAATATTTCTATGGACAGTTCTGACAGAAGACTGAATGCTTTTCCTTTGACATTAGGAAGACCACAAGGATGCCTGATCTAACCATTACTGTTCAGCTTGGCATTAAAGACTGCAGTCAGTGCAATAAAGAAACTGCAGTGAAATGCACTAGATCAGACAAGAGGAGGATAGCTTTTTTCAATGGATCATATAATTATGTAAAGAAATCCTATAAAGTCCACAACAAACACTACCAGAACCAAAAATTCAGTGTAATAATACCACAGAATCCAAAGTCAACATATTAAGAATCATCTTTTTACACATTAGCAATGAACATTTAAAAAACTTTTATAAAACATGAAATACACATACATACACACACACACACACACACACACACACACACACACACACACACACTTATGTACTGTAAAACTATTCAAGACCACCAAATAAGAACATATCACAGTAAGAGATATTAAAGCTGGAATAAATAGAGAGATGCAGTCTTGGTGAACTGAGTGTTCCGGTATTATTAAAAATCTAACTACCTCCCTTCCTCTCCTGGAACTAAACCCAGTATTAAACACATACCAGGCTAATACACTATCATTGAGCCATACCTCCAGCACAATACTGTTAAAAATTTCAATTTTATTCAAATCTATGTATAGATTCAACATAATCCCAAATAGAATCTAAATAAGCACTTTTATATAAATTGATATAATAATTCTTAAAAATTGCATGAAAATGAAAAGAAACTAGATTAACCAAAGCTACACAGGAAAGAACAAAACTGGAGGGCTTATATAATTTGATTTTGGGACTTACTATAAAGCTACAATAATCCATACAGTGGTACTGGTGGAAGGAAGGTCTATGGAATAGACATATGTATCTACCCATGAAAAACACAGGATACTCTGCTACCCAGGAGAAAAGCAAGCACACATTCCTACTGAAAGACTATATTCAAATGTTAACAGCAGCACCTAGCACACATTAGTCCCTGGGTTAAATTCCCAACACTACCTCCAAAAGAAAACAATAGTAGTAATAATAAGTGTGACAATGTAGATGACTCTCAAAATAATCACGCTGAGTGAAAGATGAAAATAAGAGAGGGGGAAGAAATGTATGATTCCATTCACTGAAGTACTAAAGTACACAAATTCCTCTATAATAACAAGTTAGTTTAGTGGTTTCTAGGGGACAAGATGACAAAAATAAGGACAGGGAAAAAATTTTCAAACCATCTGAGTACATTTTTTTTCAAGTATTAGATATATTTCATTATCTTAATAGTTTTTTTTATCAGAGCAAATATGTTAGCATTTATCAAACTGGATGTCTAATGTACAGTATACTGCTATAAACCACACCCAATAAAGAACACACGTCCTGAAAATGTTGTTGAAAGTCAACTATGTATGAACAGAGTTTTAAATATCAGGTCTGGTATTGCTTTATAATTGTTTCAGCAGACATTAGCAAAATCCATGAAACTATTCCTTCATATTCACCAATATCTCTGATGAGGCAGATGATTTTACTAAGTTTTGGGTGAGCTCCAGATAAGTAAACACCAAAGAAAAATACACAGAAAATGAATAAGCATACCTTGATTTGTGCAAAGGGTCTTTCATAACCTCCAACATAGAGAAGGCCAACATTCTGTGGAAGCAACCTACAAGGTAGGAAAAAATAAAATAAAAAAAAACACCTTATGTATAAAATACTCTGCCTTTAATGCAAAGACGCATAATAATAAAAAGTGAGGAGACTGGAGAGACTCAATCAGTCAAGTTCTTGCTGCACAAGTGTCAGGACCTGAGCTTGATTCCCATCATCCAGCAAAAAAAAAAACCAGGTGTGGTGGCAACAACCTGTAATCTAGGTACTGGGGAGGTAGAGACAGGCTCACTGACCAACCAGTCTAGCCTAACTGCCAAGTTTTAGGTCAACAGAAAGACAGTCTCAAAAAACAAACAAACACCAAGGTAGATAGCATCTGCAAAACAATACCCAAGTGTGGTGGTATTGTGTTCCCCAAAATATTATGCACCCTAATAAACTTATCTGGGGTCAGAGACAAAACAGCCACTGTAGATGTAACCAACCGTCTTATTAAATAAGGAACACAGAAACAATGTAAAAGAGAAAGCCGAGAGGTCAGAGCTCAGAGCTAAAATCTCACCCTTCCTCCTGCTGTCCCAGCTTCCCGAAAGAGACCTATTTCCTGTCGGTTCGTTTTTTTAAAGTATGTTGTTCTGCCTTCTCATTGGTTGTAAACCCAAACACATGACTGCATCGTCACTGTCTGAATGTACAGCCCCCTAGGTCTTAAAGGCATATGTCTCCAATGCTGGCTGTATCCCTGAACACACAGAGATCTTATGGGATTAAAGGCGTGTGCCACCACCGCCACACTCTTGCTATGGCTCTAATAGCTCTGACCCTGAACACACAGATATCTCTTATGGGATTAAAGGCGTGTGCCACCACCGCCACACTCTTGCTATGGCTCTAATAGCTCTGACCCCCGGACAACTTTATTTATTAACATACAATCAAAATAATATTTCAGTACAATTAGATTACCACCACAAGCCACTAGATACAAAGGCTAGAAAATGGTGGCACTCACATCTTTAATCCTAGCCATTTCAGAGGTAGAAATCCCTCTGGATCTTTGTGAGTTCAAGGCCACATTGGAAACAGCCAGGCATGGTGACACACGCCTTTAATCGCAGAAAGCGAGCCTTTAATCCCAGGGAGTGATGGTAGACAGGAAAGATATATAAGGCATGAAGACCAGAAACAAGAAGCATTTGGCTAGTTAAGCATTTGGCCTGCTTAAGCATTCAGGTTTTTGAGCAGCAGTTCAGCTGAGACCCATTCTGGATGAGGACTCAGAGGCTTCCAGTCTGAGGAAACAAGATCAGCTGAGAAGTTGGCCAGGTGAGGTTAGCTGTGGCTTGTTCTGTCTCTCTGATCTTCCAGTGTTTACCCCAATACCTGGCTTCAGGTTTGATTTTGTTAATAAGATTCTTTAAGATTCCTGCTACACCTAAGGTTGATCTTTGGCTACATGGGGGGGGGGGGGCCCCGCGGGGCAGACCGACAGACCGACCAACCTAACAGATACTAAACATGCAAATATTGTCTTTTGTACAATGAGATAGTAACACCAAATGAGTAATTCTATTTTAAAATAAAAAAGGGTAAAATGTTAAGAATGGGGCTCAGGTAGGTAGGGTATTAGCATAGCATATATGAAGCCTGGGTTCAAATTGCAGTACAGCATAAAACTGGGTGTGTTGTCACAGGCCTATAATGCTTGCATTCATGAGATGAAAGCAGGGGGATCAAAAGCGTAAGGTCAGCCTCAGATACACAGAGAGTTCGAGGCTAGTTTGGGCTACCTGCTTCTATATCTCAAAAAAACTTCATGAAAATTTAAATACAGAACATACTTAATAATTCTAATAAGATTACTAGTGTTTCTAGAAATGAGGTGACAATATGATAATCAAAAATATATAAAAATTTACTTGAAGAACTAGTGAATGCATCCTACACCATGTATTATAGAAGATAATGAACTTAATCCTGTGCTAAAATTTTACCAAAAACTTGACATAAATATTCCTAACAAAATAGTAGCTTTGACCCATGGAATAATAAAATATCTGTCACTGGAAAGCAGTGGGGTAAGGGCACTGATTTATGGAGAGGTAGGTTAAAAGTCGGAGTACACAGAAGTTACAGCTTGTGTAAGGAGTAAAAGTCAAACTATATATGGTTTCATTCCCTAAATCATCCTTTCATTCATTAGAGATCCTATTCAGATCTCTAGAAGGTCCATTGTATCATTTTGTTTTGTTTCTGTTTTTCCTTAAAAAAAAAAACAATTATATGTGCATAGATATTTTGCATACAAATATGTCTGTGTACCACATGCATGTCTGGTGCCCACTGAGGCCAACAGAGGGCCTCAAATCCCTCAGAACTTGAGTGAAGAGATGGATGTAAGCTCCTACATAGGTGCTGAGAATGAAACCTGGGTCTTTTGGAAGAGCAGCCAGTGCTCTTAAGTCCTGAGCTATCTCAGCAGCCCCTTATTTTCCTTTCTAAAAACAGCCTTCCTATGTAGCCCAAGGGGGCATCTAATTCATGATGGCCTACCTCAGCCTCCCAAGTACAAGGATTATGGTCCTGTATCAATCAGAGGTCTATCATTTGCACTGAAACTCTAGGTGGGTTTGGTTTTGTGGTGCTAGGAATTGACCTTAGAGCCTCAATGTAAAGGCAAGTGCTATATATAGAGCTATATTCCCAGTCCACATCAAAACATTATAAATGAAGAAATACTGCCTTTAGAACTTTGGAATGATTAAAGAGAAATCAGCAGTGGAGTAAGCTATGGAGGGACATAAATACTAACCTTAACGTGGGGAACTATGAAGTTGGCCTGGCCTAGCTGCCTTGAAATGCATGTGTCACGGGTTTTTCCATGGCTCCTGGGGCACAATGTGCCTTCCAGTTCCCAAGACAGTGATGCACTCCCTCAGGCAGTGAAGCATTTGGCCCATTTTGTGTTTCTCTGTTTCCTTAGAAATCAAGGAAGCATGGAAGCTTAGCAGGGCAATTGGTCTTAGACATTACTCTTGTGTACCCTGCATGGCTTGCAAATGTCATTCTATCCCGGCAACTACAACTGTATTGATCCTGGCAATTGCCACTATATTCTGTTGCTGATAAAGGTATAAAGAGTCTGATTGTTCTCAATAAAATTGTCACAACCTCTGTCTTGCTGTGGCCCCTCCAAACCACCTGGTTTAATTTTTCATGGCCATATCAGGTAACCTTGGCCTGGTAAGTAAGTATGGGCACTATACCATCTATATCTCACTCTTTCACCATGTTTATTTTTCCTAAAAGACACGTAAGTAAATGAACATATAACTTCAGTTTTAGTATTTCTATATGAAGGGAAAGCCTGTATTCCACACTCCAAATCTCTATGTACAGACATATCTAGGAGCCTACATGAAATTAACCGCTTCTTAGGACAGCTAACAGCACTGAAATGAGCTGCAGGATAACTATATCATAGTAAACAAGTGCCAATTCAAAGCAAGCCAACAGAACCTTCTCAGTGTGCCAGACTGACATAATCACAGAAAATGAGAACACTCAAGACTATTATAACAATCTCCTTTTTGTGCTGTTTGTTTGTGGCTTTTAAACAGAGCTATGGAGATCTCACTTCATAGTCCTGAGGTATCCTGGAACTTTCAACTGCACCAGGCTAACTCCACCTCCAAGTGCTAGGTAAAGATGCATCATTGCAGGACCTGGCATAACTGTCTCTTTACAATTCAAATTCATAACTTAAAAAACTCTACTTCAGGAGTTTTAGAATCCACATTTATTAACAACTTTTCTGAAACTAGAACATTTCAAGAGTCTAGTGGACTCTTGAGTTGTCATTGGAGACAGATGTTTGTGTGATTCTTTCCACTGGTATGGACTACCTAGTGAGATTAAGAAAGCAAACATCTTAAAGCATGAAATAGGGCACAGTTTCAGTCTCCTCAGAACTGTCTCTGCTCCTTTTATCCTGTAGGGGTAATAAAACACACTAACAGAACATTAATAGTAGACATACACAATCCTGAATTAAACTAATTTAGCCAACTCCCTTTTTACATTTAGAATGTAAGTGATACTATGTCAATAGTATAATAGTATAAGGGACATGACTAGGGCATTTCTTTACTGGATTTGAGTACAAAGCATAGGATATGTCCCCAAATCTCAACAATGAAATGAGAAAACTCTTAGCCATGCTTTGACAACTAAGAAATTCAACCAAGAGCTGGAGAGATGGTTCAGAGATTAAGAACACTGGTTGCTCTTCCAGAGGTCCTGAGTTCAATTCCTAGCAACCACATGGTCGCTCACAACCATCTGTAATGAGATCTGGTGCCCTCTTCTGGCGTACAGGCACACATGCAGGCAGAACACTGTACACATAATAAATATATAAATAAATCTTCAAAATATAAATTCAACCAAGAAAACCTTGCTGGCAGCAGTAGTGGTAACTAACAAATGTTCACAGAAAACTTGTTAAACCTTCTTTAAAGGTAAATATAATCACTATTTATACAAAGAGACAGTAGGAAAAGGAAGAGAATGAAAGCTGGCTGACATTTAAAAGCCAATAAGCTTCTAATTACTATATACGTGCATCTCAGGAAGTTTGCCAACATACTATTTAGCGTGCACCTCCCTTCCTTTAATTTGCTATCTAAAAAATACATTTCCTCAGCATTTTCTTAAATGTTGCCAGTTAGACTTTGTTTTTAACTTTAAAAACATCTGTCATCTATTTTTCTTATCATATACCTCACTACCTCTACTTGAACCGGCCTTGCTGTTGCTGTAGACAAACAACAAGGTACAGCTTTGGCTGGCCTGAAACTCAGAGATCACCGGCTTCTGCCTCCTGAATACTGAGACCAAGGCTTGTGAAAGATAACATAACTGGCTTTGAGTAGTCTTAAATATGTATTATAATTTAAAAGTCTTTTAAGAGGAAGCTAATACGTTGGGAATATAAGTTTCCATTTTTAAAGTGAAATACTTCTTTAAATGTTCTCTCTCCCCCTCTCCCCC